AAAGTCATAATATTTTCCCGCTTACTTGATAAACATATTCAAATCAATTGTTCCGTTAATTTCCGTTCTCAGGTGAAGAATTTATTAAAAAATTGTAAAACTATATTTTAATGCGTTTTGTATAGAACTTGAAAAGTATCTATAAAAATATACATAACTGAAATTATAATTACATTTTACATTAAAAATTTTTCAGAATGGGGTATCAGCGACGACATTCAGAAAGTTACCACTGGTTCGACAGAACCAATTCATGAAAACATCTTTAGTTCAGCAAACATTTTGCTAAACTTGAAATGCGATATTTATTTAGATAATTTATTACTGCTTAGATGTGTGGTGATGAAAATGTGACTTCCTAATCTGGTGTGATACTAGGAGTATCAAATATAAATCATGTCTGCATAAAAATAGCTAGCCTGAAAATTAGTGGAGTACATTGCGTTGACAATTTAATAATAGGAATACAAAAATCGTTGACTTACCCAATAACCCCCATGCATGAGACTTGTAGAATCATTTAATCACACATTTATTTCATAAAAAAACTCCTCTTGAATATTAATATATAACACATAATACAAAAATCATCATGAAGATCTTTGAAACACAAAACTGATATGTGAAACATGCGTGTTACGAGTACCGTCTACTTTGCAAATAGAGAGTCCGACTTATTAATCTAAGAACATCGGTAGGTGCAATGCTCAATACTGATTTCTAATTTACACTATTTTATGTGAAGTGGTTGTATTCTAAACGGAAAGGACCTTTCTTTTATCATACATTTCTATTCTTTGCGCATATGGTCTGCTTCTCCCGAGGTTGACGAAACAGGTCTACACATATTGGGAACGCCACAGTTCAGACATTCGATGTAGGTTTACCTTTGGTCTCGCATCACGACAGATTAATTTCCATCCAAAATACTTATCACTAAATCGTGCACTTTTTAGAAAATGGAACATATCTTCTCATCCAACTCAGGGGGAAATAAAATAGCAGAGAGACGTGAGTGATGCTCCATAATACGAGGACGAAATGTGTGAGGCCGAAACACCCCACACACTCGGTTGAAACGTCGTCAGCAGAAAGATCGAACAACTAGTCTGTCCAGTTTTTATGCATGCGGCGCAAGTGGCAGTCCAGCGATTACGATTACAGTAGCGATGAAGTTAAGCTGAACGGCGTGAGAATTTTATGTTCTCACAAGATGGTTATATCCCATTCAAGCTTTACCAAATAACTCGTTTTTTTTTTTTTTTTAATCGTTCCATTTCAGCCTCTGGCGATGAGGTAAGTGAGAAGAATGTAATCGAAGGTCAGGTGGCTGTGAAATTTGTGTGGTATCTTAATCACAATGATGATTCATACATTATGCTTCGTGTTTAGACAGTTATTGAGATACAACATTAATGTCAAGTGGTGGTGATATCTTACCAGGGCCTGCTCTCTAGGCGTTTTGCTACCCTGTGCACTCTCTACGACTTCTTAATCCTGCCGCGTAGACCCAGCTGAATTCTAAAAATTTTGCCACCTCTAAATTCTGACACTAGCCATGTATTAAACACAGTAAACACGAAAAAACAAATCTTTTTTTAAATGTGCATTTCATTTTGGAAGAAAACTTTGAGTCTTATAGAGAGAAATGGTCTTTTACGGCCCGCTGCCCTAGAATTATAATATGATATTCAAACTGTAGAGAGTCCTTTTCCAGTTGAAATGAATATTCTTCATCTACCTTAAAAAGCCCTTTTCCTTTTTTTTTTTTTTCTCGACTTTCCCTTGTTTAACATATAACTTATTTCTAATTGTTTCAATTTTGTTTACGTTTAAAAATGTCCATTATAATTTTGAATGTTTGTTTTTAAAGCGTTGAGTGAGTGGGTTTTCTCGCTAACAAACATTCGATGGCAAGAAGCAGGAAAGGGATTTAATCAGAGTCAGTGAAGTGAGTTTGGTCAGCACTCAGTGCAGTTTCAAACTATTATGCGTTCAGCCCCCCCTTTTTTTTCCCTGAGGGGAAGTCCAATTATATGTTGCCAAAAAAAGAAAGGAAGGAAACGAAATTCTTTCATGATGTAAAATAAAGAGTTAATGGCACACTTTCTGTTATTCCCATTGATAATTCCTGCAGGAAGAAACAAAAGGGCTTTAAGTGGCATTTTCTTTTGGGGCGGGAGGGCACCAACGGAAAGTCTGAAATAAGACATCACGACTTAGATAGCTAATATTATTGCTTATTTAGGTATGGAAACCATTCTTAAAATCTTTTAATCGTATCATTTATGTGGAACTGTGCTAAATTTACGCGGAGTTCGAAAGAACGGTGGGTTCAGCTAACAACAAATCAGAATTTTAAAAATAATACCACAGCTCAGATTTTTTTAATTTTCCCTTTAATTCAAGATATTTTCATTGAATTTTCCTGTCTCTTCATAACATAAGTAGTACATGTAATACAAATAGATAAGCATAGGAAGTTAACATAAAGTTTTATTACTGAAGATCCAAAGTTTACATAAATAAATTCATTGATCTTCTTACGTGTATGCAGTATTTGTATGATCATACATGACTTTAAAATAATTTTAAAACATCAGACTCCTTGCGCAGGGCCCATGCTAATCTTCTCTGTATCATTTTAATTTTAGTATATGTACTGCCTCGCTAATGAATTTATTTCATTAATTACTACGCTTTTAATGAATATTTGTTGTTCGTTTTAAATATTTTTTTTTTATTTTATTGAAGGTATAATTTCCGCAAATATCCTTTATTTGTTACCATGGCAACCAATGAACTATCGATTAGATAAAGCTTTGGTTCTAGTTATCAAAATAAGGATCCATCATGTTATGTAAAAGAAGTTGAGTAAAAATAATTTTCATTTTCTAACAGAGCTGCTACTTTTAGTAAACATTAAAGCATGTGAGGAACATTAAAATAATATTTATGTTAATAGCATAAAATACAGTAAAACCTTGAATTGCGAATAACTTGATCTACGAGTATTTTGCAAGTGGAGCAAAAACTTTAAAACAAATTTGTACTTGATAAATGATTGAGATCACAAATAATGAGTAGCATACTTAGTAGCACACTTTGTTTGTCAAACGGTCATGCGTTCACAATTGAGCCGATTGTTCTTTTTATTCTCGCTGAAGCACTGTGGGTGATCATCTCCTGTGCTTAGTCTAAGTTGGCGAGATTCTTTTTTGTAATCAGTACCAAAATAAGAGTATAACTGTTCACTATAGGGCTGTAACCGTTCCAATGGGCTTAAATTTTTTGTATCCTACCATCATGGCATGTTTTAAATGCACTGCAACAGCAGTTCCTATGAAGAAAAAAATAGATGCAAGAAGACTCACAAACTGAGTACTAACCAAAATAAAGTACGCGCTTAGGGCACTATAAAAAGGCCCTTAGAGACTTAAGAAAAGGGGACACCATAAAACTTTCCCAGTATCGTTTTACCATGGAATGTGTGATGTAGCTAAACCAAGACCAAGAGGGAAGGAATGAAAAAAAAAAACTATAAATGTACGTGAGGGAGCTTAAATTTTGTATGTGTTTAGAGCTTTCTAAAATTCTTAATTCGACTCAGGTCATAAAAGTATTGAAGCAATGGCAACGTCTTCTATAAAACATAGCAAACTGCTTCTTGTGTGCCTGGGATGGTGACATTTAAGAAAACTGCGTCTTGATTGCTTTCCTAGATATGAGTGAGAGGAGTTTGTTCTGGAAAGGAGCCATCAATTGTCGATGAAATTGCATTGTTGAAAAAGACCGTGGGACTTGAGGTGAAAGAGGATGACATACAAATTCTGGTGAAGGTACACGGCCTTGAACTGATTACTGATGAATAATCTGATCTGCTCGCGAGCAATGGTAAGTGGTTACAGACGAGATCTCGTCAGAGGAGGAGGAGAAAAAGATGGAGGAATCCCCAGTTAAATGGGTTTAAAAAAACATGTAAAATATGCATAAGACTAAATTGGTGTAAAAAAATACCTAAATAAGGTTAAAGCAATGTAAGCGATTAACCTGCTTAAAGACAATACAAAGTTACTTCTTCCTCAGTCACTCCTTCCTCTTCTTCAGAAAACCTCAGAAGGTGAATAGAACTGTCTTTGGATAGGTTTCTTGTTAGATTGAAGTAAACGAACAGATAGCAATGATTCCATTAGTCAGCCGCCATTCTTTTCAAAGATAAAATGCATATTAATTTACTTATGTACTTCGTAATTTGCATTAATGATTTTACATGAATATTTCTGTATTTCTGTATGAATCATTTGAGACTCTGTTATTTCTTATATGGAAATTCGCCCGGTTCGTTCTGTTTAAAGTGCACATTAATTTATTTTATGTACCTAGTATTTCGTTTTAATAATTCTCACATGAATATTTTTGTATTTTAGTACGAATTTTTGAGTCTCTGTTATTTCTTATATGGTAATTCGCTTTAATTAATTTCTTATATGGCAATACGCTTTGGATTGCAAGCAGTTTCCGGAATGAAAATGCTCTCGAACACAGTCACTATTCTGATGAAATATCAGATACGAAAAGATTGTAATAAAGAAAATCTTTTGTAAATCTGAAATTTAGAAACAAATGCTATACAAGAAAATTATACATATAAATGTTTCGGCAAATTCAAATCTTTTATCAAACCATCAAACATGAAATTTGCACATTGATCATCTTTCTATCATAGAAAGAAAATAATGTAACACATTATTTCATTCTTTCATATAGCATCCGTTCAATACTCGTAATTATTCTCTATTAACTGTTACAAAATAATTAATTGATATTTACCAAAGTAATTACTTTTTAATCTAAAATTAATTCCAGTTGCAGCTGTAAAAAGCCCAGAGCTTGGTGAAAACCAAAATATGAACAATAAAATTATTCCTTATGTCTAAGTTACGCTGAAATTTTGTTAACTCATAATTATATTCCTCACAATTTTTGTTTTATAATTTTAGGATGCCGACAAAGAAGCCGGAGGCATATCTCAAACTCGTTATCAAGAACTTTATGCGCAATTTATTGGATCGCCAGAAACAGATGTTCCAGGAGCATACCTTTTCGGACCACTGTCTGTTTACAATTGATTTCAGATCTGTTATAAATTAATCTTTGTAAGAAATTTATTTCCGTTTTTGAAGAATTATAATCATCAGTTGTTGTCTGTATGTACTTGCGGAAATGGAATGTGATATAATACCATTTTGAATCAATTTAATATTATATACGTAGAGAAGAACAACTTCCTACCTTTTTTCATTTGATAAAAATTTTGTTTAAACTTTTGTTACAATATGCATATTTGAAATTTCGCTATTTTTCGTAACAATATTTCCTATGAAGAGTACTTAATAGAAATATGCCCGAGAATTTGATGATCTCAGGTGGAGAGGAAAGAATATAGTTTTCATCAAATGTATTTAGAAAAAAAAGGTCTGAACTTAATTGTCTGAAATAATTGCATAGATATAAGTAGGAGAATTTACCTTCTACATCCTTTCTTAGGAATTTCAAAAATATTTTCACATATTTAGATTTAGAACGAATTTATTTTGTATGGTTTGCATTTTCTTCAACAGTTTTATAAATGATGAAATCTAGTTGATAAATAGACCACGAAACGCGCATGCGCGATCGTGAATTAATTATACATAATAAATTTAGGTCAGCAACTATTGCTTCAGCAAAATTAGTAAGTAATAAATAATTAGAAACGCATATTCGTTCGAGTTAACATTTCAGGGTTAAAGGTAATGCAAAGTATTTCACTTTAATTTGTCACTATGCATGTTCTAAAAAATAGCCAAAAGTATTGAAGACAAATTCCTCATATGGAGAAAAAAAAATATAATAAAATTTTAAATCTATATTTCGTGATAATTATTCAATCGATAAATGTAGTTTTATAATGCATAGCGAATAAAATTAAACTAGTAAATACGCCCGTAGTTTATTCAAAATTATAACCAAGTGATTATATACATCTGTTCTCAAAAAAATAAATACCCTTCGCTCCTTAAAAAGAAGTTTTTATCAGATTTCGTCAAAATACAAAGAGTTTATCTCTAAAACAAACATCAATCTACTAATGTGAATTTTGCCAAAAAAATGTTTTTGTCAACACAAAAATAAGCAAGTTTTGCTCATCTGTCACTCGTGCGTTAAAACAAGGCATTGGGTTTATAAATAAATTATTCTTTTAACACTTTAAGCATTCTTAGAGTTTCTATTTCAGCCTATTTCAATAATACTTCTTGATAACAGAAAATGACAATTTCTTGCATATGAAGTGATTCAAAATTGAATTATCTTATGTTGTAATTAAACAAATAATATAAAATATTAATAAAACGCAAACTCTAAAAATTTGAAATGCATTCTGTTGCTTTTAAAAACGTGTAATAAATAATAAATAAAAAATTTCACTCATTTTAATAACATTTTAAAAAAGTAGCATAAAAGTGTCTTCCTTAGTTTTGCTGTCAATAAAATGAAGATAGATGTAATGAGAATGTATGATGTAAAACGGAAGTTCAGTAATCGTTTTCAATAAAACTTATTTCTTTTGTTTTTAAAACTCAGTCCAATATAAAGATAAATATAGAGTTGAATATAATAATCTGTAGGAAAGCTATAATGTATATCATCTTATATCTGATATTTTTCGATGTGTGTGTATTGCAATGTGAAATGCAAATAAAATGTATTGGTGTAAAATTACCTATTTTTTGTTGTTATTTCTTTCTATTAAAAGTAAAAATTTATGTATCATCTCTCTATGCCTAAAACATTGTCAACATTTTTAGTTAATTTTACATGCTCATTAAATGTAAAAAAAAATTTAAGAAATTATAGAAATTGTAAAAATTTTAAGAAATCATTTCAATTAGATAATTTCACTAAACTAAATAAATAATTTCGATAAAATTAAATTAAATAATTTCGATAAATTAAATAAATAGTAAAAATTTTTAAGAAATTTTACATATTTTTTAATGTAAAAAAGAATTCAAAGAAATTGTAGAAATTTCTTTAAATTTATTGCTTAAAATATGTGTTTTCTTTAAAAAAAGAAAGCAAAGAGAAACCTGTCTAAGGGAAACCACCCATGGTTTTAGATGATTTTCGTTTTCTATGGAGGTAGTTCAAGAAGGTGATATAGATACTGGCAACTATCTATTTGTATCATAGATTTACCCCCACTCGAGGTTCTCCGAAAATCAGAAAAATACTGGAGTAAAATCGCAGTCTTTATCAATGTCTCACATTCAGGAATTGTTTAAATTCGGTTTAGCTCACTGCTTGGCGATTGTTTTTCAATGGGCAATAAACGCGCCAACATGGCTAACCCGATGTTTTGAAGCTGTGTTGTTATTCTGTTGCCACTAAATGTTATCGCCCTGTGTTATATTTAAAGAAATTAAATATTGAAAAATCTGCATAAATGTTTCTCGCATTGTGATAAAACAACGGTACCTACAGCCATCAAATTTTGAATAACATACGTTTCCAACCTAATATGGGTATCTGGAAGCCCAAACTTGGAATTTTTTTATTATCTGATTGATATTTTGTAAAACTTGAACGAATTTTTGATTAGCAAACTCAAAGATTTCAAAGCGAGCAACGGCAACACGGTGCGAGAAAAAAAAAAACATTTTTACGTGCAGAGTGCAAAACTGTGTATCGGAAATTCTAAAGATATGCTCATTTTAAAATTATATTGCGATATTGCTGTTGAACTGAATTTTACGGTTTAAGTGTAAAGAACATTATATTTGATAAATAAAGGTAACACACAAAACGTTAAAAAAAACGCCCCTTAGGGCATAATGTAAAATCTAAAAGCTTTCATTTTTTTAAATTTATTTATTTATTTATTTTTATTTTTACTTGTTAATTCTGTTGCGGTTTGAATATTCTTATGCGGTGATTCTTTTTTTAATCGAGTGTTCCCCCCCTGTGGGTTTTAGCCTTTTTTCTGCATATATTACGGAAACGGCGTATAAAACGTTAGTAAATTTATTTAAAGATAAGGAGAGATCCAAAGGGTTTCCCGAGATAAATTCATATATAAAACACCTCTAAAAGACTTTACATTTTTCTTGAAAAGGGTAAGTGAAAAAATTTTTCTTGTACGGTTCGTTTCAAAGTTGCTTATTTTTAATATTTTGTATTTCTTTTTGGCTCGATCCTAGAATTGGAAAAGCTGACGTTGTGCTATTCTCTGATGTTTTTTTTTTTAATGAAATAGATCGATATGTACATGGGCAAAGCCAATGTTGTGCGCAATGCCGAGTTGTGGCGCGTGCCTAGTTTGTGCAATTCTAGGATGTTTTTTTAAGTGAAAATAGATCGATGTGTACATGGGCAAAGCCAATGTAGTGCGCAATGCCGAGTTTGTGCAATTCTGGGATTTTTTTTAAGTGAAAATAGATCGATGTGTACATGGGCAAAGCCAATGTAGTGCGCAATGCGCGATGCCGAGTTTTTGCAATTCTAGGATGTTTTTTAAGTGAAAATAGATCGATGTGTACATGGGCAAGCCAATGTAGTGCGCAATGCCGAGGTTGTGCGCGGCCTAGTTTGTGCAATTCTAGGATGTTTTTTTAAGTGAAAATAGATCGATGTGTACATGGGCAAAGCCAATGTAGTGCGCAATGCCGAGGTTGTGCGCGGTGCCTAGTTTGTGCAATTCTAGGATTTTTTTAAGTGAAAATAGATCGATGTGTACATGGGCAAAGCCAATGTAGTGCGCAATGCCGAAGTTGGGCGCGGTGCCTAGTTTGTGCAATTCTCGGATGTTTTTTTTAAGTGAAAATAGATCGATGTGTACATGGGCAAAGCCAATGTAGTGCGCAATGCCGAGTTTGTGCAATTCTAGGATTTTTTTAAGTGAAAATAGATCGATGTGTACATGGGCAAAGCCAATGTAGTGCGCAATGCCGAGTTTGTGCAATTCTGGGATTTTTTTTAAGTGAAAATAGATCGATGTGTACATGGGCAAAGCCAATGTAGTGCGCAATGCCGAGTTTGTGCAATTCTTGGGATTTTTTTTAAGTGAAAAATAGATCGATGTGTACATGGGCAAAGCCAATTGTAGTGCGCAATGCCGAGTTTGTGCAATTCTAGGAATTTTTTTAAGTGAAAATAGATCGATGTGTACATGGGCAAAGCCAATGTTGTGCGCGGTGCCTAGTTTGTGCAATTCTAGGGATGTTTTTTTAAGTGAAAATAGATCGATGTGTACATGGGCAAAGCCAATGTAGTGCGCAATGCCGAGGTTGTGCGCGGTGCCTAGTTTGTGCAATTCTGGGATTTTTTTTAAGTGAAAATAGATCGATGTGTATATGGGAAAAGCCAATGTAGTGCGCAATGCCGAGTTTGTGCAATTCTGGGAATTTTTTTTAAGTGAAAATAGATCGATGTGTACATGGGCAAAGCCAATGTAGTGCGTGCGCAATGCCGAGTTTGTGCAATTCTAGGGATTTTTTTTAAGTGAAAATAGATCGATGTGTACATGGGCAAAGCCAATGTAGTGCGCAATTGCGCGAGTTTGTGCAATTCTAGGATTTTTTTTAAGTGAAAATAGATCGATGTGTACATGGGCAAAGCCAATGTGGTGCGCAATGCCGAGGTTTTGCGCGATGCCTAGTTTGTGCAATTCTAGGATGTTTTTTTAAGTGAAAATAGATCGATGTGTACATGGGCAAAGCCAATGTAGTGCGCAATGCCGAGGTTGTGCGCGGTGCCTAGTTTGTGCAATTCTAGGATGTTTTTTTAAGTGAAAATAGATCGATGTGTACATGGGAAAGCCAATGTGGTGCGCAATGCCGAGTTTGTGCAATTCTGGGATGTTTTTTTAAGTGAAAATAGATCGATGTGTACATGGGCAAAGCCAATGTGGTGCGCAATGGTGCCGAGTTTGTGCAATTCTGGGATTTTTTTAAGTGAAAATAGATCGATGTGTACATGGGCAAAGCCATGTGGTGCGCAATGCCGAGGTTGCGCGGTGCCTAGTTTGTGCAATTCTAGGATGTTTTTTAAGTGAAAATAGATCGATGTGCACATGGGCAAAGCCAATGTGGTGCGCAATGCCGAGGTTGTGCGCGATGCCGAGTTTGTGCAATTCTGGGATTTTTTTTTAAGTGAAAATAGATCGATGTGTATATGGGAAAAGCCAATGTAGCGCGCAATGCCGAGTTTGTGCAATTCTCTAATGTTTTCTAAGTAAAAATAGATCGACTTGCACATGGACAAAGCCAAGGCAGTGCGCAATGCCAAGTTTGTGTAATTATCTGAATTTTTTAATCTTATTTAATTGACTTCAAATTGTATAGCAGGCTTTTCTATACACTGTTTCTGGTATGCATAGTGACTGATATCTCTTTAAGAAAATATGTATGCACGCAAATAAATTTTAACAAATGAATCCTTCGCATGAATCATGCATTTTGCGAGAAATAAACTTCCATGTTTGAATGAAAATGTTGTAAATTTCTATAAGGTTTAAACCTCTCGCATTTGTTGTGAATTACATGTAGCGTTTAAGCGAAACTAATGGTATTTTGTGTTTTAAACTTAAATTTCAGATTTTATTTTGATTTTTAATTTCATTATATTTGTTGTCTTTTTTTAATTTCCTATCGTTGACAATATTACTTATCGTAGCTTTAGATTTCGAAAAGCCATGGCTTTCACAGCGTTTTTTAATAACTATAGTTATCTATAGATACGAATAAATTTCTTCGGAGAGAGCACAAATGTCCGAAGACAAATTGTCAAGTAGCAGACGATAATTTATGTTTTCAAAACTATATACTTGCAGTTAAAAAGAATTTCCAAGCAGACGATTTCTCTTGGAATTTTTACTTCGTAATTTGGGCAGTTAATTCAGTTGCCGTTTGAATGTTATTTGGTAGTTATCAATCGAGTGGTTTTATCTGTGTGTTTTTAACATTTTTTCTGCATACATTTCGTTAAATAACAGTCGCTATGGATTTATCTGTGATGCTGAGAGAGGTGAGTGATTGTACATGTAAATTTATTACTTTATTGGAAGTGCAAGGGAAACGTGCCGTCATTGAATGGAATGTATTTGAAAGTTGGTTTGATTGCTACTTTTTTCGTTTGTTCTGAAATGTGGTGAAATATGCGTTTTTGTGAAGAGAAAGGGAAGTATACGGATGGATTTGAATGGCGATGTAGAAAGCAAGGAAAAGTGAATGCGCATGATGTTTGTAGGAGTATAAGGAAAAGGTTCATGGTTTAGTCCGTAGCCATTTGAGTATATGTGATAGAATTTGAGATTGAGATGATACGAGATGATTGGTTTTTGAAAATGGGAAATGAATCTGAGATTCAAGAAGTGAAAGTGCATGAACATGATGTTGTTGATTGGTTTATGTTTTGCAGAGAAGTGTGTATGACGACTGTGATAAATGATAGTGTTCCAATTGGTGGTGAAGGAGTAATAGTTGAAGTGGATGAGAAGCAAAGTTCGGGAAAATGAAGTATTAAAGAGGAAAAGCCCTGTGGACGGTCATTGGGTAATTGGTGGTATAGAGAGAGGAACGAACAGATGTTTTTTTTAGAGAGGTTGAGAATAGATCAAAGGAGAGTTTGGAGAAGAGTGATAGTTGAATGGGTGTTGCCGGGATCAACTGTGGTTTCAGACTGCTGGAAGGCATATGGTGGACTAAAAAATTTAGGTTATTAGCCATC